CACTTTTACTATATATAAAGACCAGATTTCAAAAAACTTAATGGAAGCTACACCCAATCTACAACAAAAATTATAAAAAATATACAGGTCTCTTTACAGTAAAAAAGTATTGAATGCTAATATAAATACACAACCTAATAGCACGAACTCAACACACAACCCTACAGCCTGCTGGACAATAGCTGATACACCTCTTGACCTACAAATCTCAAATCTAACCTGGCTATCTAAAAGAAAAGCCCTGCTGACAGCATTACTAACCTTAATCACTGTAGTACTATACACATGTGTACTAAACATTTCTACAGATGAAAAACAACTAGCTTATAACTTTATAAACATAGTTCAAACCTCCACATACCTCGCTAATCAATTGCTATCTACAACCTTTGGAATTTACAAAGCAACTATAAAAGCAGCAATTATGAGAAAAGACCTAACAGTACAAATAACAACTACAAATACTACAATTAAACCAAACATTACAAGCACAATTATTGCTACTGAAATCAACACAGAGATGATACTGCACAACATCTACACTTCCAAACTAAACTACTACGCATTTCCCCACAAACCGAGGAGATTACTAAGGCATCTGCAAAATGCGAAAAACATAGTAGACTAGCACAACCTAAATAGAATATACCTATAGAATTTAGACGCAAAAAAGATCAACTGGGAACTCACCTTCAACTTTATAAACTATTACAACAGCCCTCTAAGCCAATATATACATTCTATTCAAACCAAAATCAAAACCTTCAAACTAAAATTAATAATGGATGAACTCCCAATACTTTTTAATCTACATATTTGATATCCAGCAAAGTACAACAATCCCATATGTCACAGATGTACACAAACAAATGAAGATAACTAACACTGGCTTACATGCACAACTAACACACACTTCATTGAAGAAATAGTCACACAAGCTCTCAACTGAACAATACAAAAATATCAAATAGAAATAAATACTACTAACTTTAGACAAAACTTTCTACAAAAATTTATATACAAGCCGCAACTAGCACCTCTTGGTATTATTACTAACGATATCATTATCAACAAAAACCCTCAAACAGATACCAAAGTAGCAAAAAATCCTACCTGCTATTTTCTTCACTACATCGTTAAGGAGATCTAAAAAAAGACTTAGAAAGCAGAATATACGGAACTCTCAAGCCAATCAACCCAAAGCCTCCAGTCCCTAATTTCAACTATAAACAAACATCAACCCAAACACCCAGCTTATCATAAAATATATAAATATAACTACTGGCTCAATGATTTTATAACAGCAAACACCTCTCCACTCAATATCCCATATATAGACTAATGAGGTCATTGACCTATCTTAGCAAAAAGCTTAAGTTAAAAGTAAAGTAGCTTTAGCCTTTAATTCTATATAGATTAGAAAACATAAAGTATCGTAATAACATTTGTAATATCATATAAATTCTAATAAAGGAACAGAGGCACAGCCTCACTTTTTTTTTAAAAAAAAAAAAAATTATAGTTTCACATGCTTGTGTTTTTAGAAAAATTAAACGAAAACAATATACTGGCATCTTAGCTATAGTAATCTTGATCATGGGTGCTAATTCGAAACTACTTAAACTATTTTTAAAGACTTTAATTTTTAAAATAATGCCTACAAGCATTATTTTGCGCTTATATAGTATGCTAGATTTGGGTGGTAAGAAAGATGAATATAACATATTCATCCATTTTCAAAAATTCACAAAAATTAGAAATGCTAATAGAACAGGTAAGAACTGTTATTTTAATGCTATATCTTGTTATAACAAAGGAATTGGTTTTGAAAAGGATGAATATAAGGCACTTGGTTACAAAAGGTAATAATAAAATTTATAATTTGAAGATATCAAATAATTATTAACAAAATATTTATCTAATGCAAATAAATAGATTGCAATAAATATTATACAATTTTGCAATATGCAAATAATGAAAGCTTGCTAGAGTATCTAAAGACAACTTTTATGAGATTATCACAATAAACAATCTATACAAATCACAGTAGTATGATTATTATGATAGCAATAGATATTATTTTAGCTTCATAAATGATGAACCATATAAACCAGCAATATACTATTGGTGATACTATTTAAACTTTATAACAGTAAGCAATATAGTATTTGTTATGCCAGAACTTAGATAATTAACATTCTAAAATTAAAATTTAGATTAATGCAAATAATATTTACATCATATTCTAAAGAAATTTATATCATTTATTTAACAATATAAAAGGCATTCTATATTAGCAAGTAAGCTATATATTACAGGTTACCCCCGTCAATATCAACCTTATTAATATTAACCTAAGCCACAAAACAAATTTTTATAAATTTTTATATATCAAAATTCCCTCATGTATATCAACTTTAATATGATTTCTTATTAATATCACTATCAACATGATTTAAAACCAATTCAAATAGATTAATATTAAAAAGGGTATCCTGTATTATAAAAAATAGCATTTGAACTTCTATTTTTATAATAATAATATTATTCACCAAGACTTTGTAAGTACCATGTATATTTTATTTCATTAACTTAATAAGTTGACATTTCAAATATTCTAATTTATTAAAAATAATTGTCACAGCTGATGCTGAAAATGGCTGATACTGAAATTCAGGCATATTTTGATATGAAAATTAAAAATTTTTAATGATGTTTTTGTCTGCTTTTTTTTAAAGTCAGGTTAGGAGTTAGGGCTAGAAATGATAATTAAGAATATATATAAATTTTAACAGAATTTATATTTTTAAATTGAGACTCCAAATTTTAGCATCAACCATTTTCAGCATTAGCTGTGACCATTATTAGTCTTAATTTTAGTTATATTTATGATTTTTTTAACATTTTATTAAGATTTGAGAAAGAATCTTATACAGTAATTAAACAAGCGATAATTATGACATTGATTGATTAATTCAACAAATATAACTTATTGTATATAGTAAAGTTTAAAAATATTATTGAGTAGATATCTTTTAGAAATTTGCAATATAGAAGATCTTGCTAAAGGAGGTTTTGATACTGTTTTTAAGGCAGTATAGATTGATAGATATATTACTAAATTTAATTAGCAAAAAAATGAATAGGAGTTCACAAAAAGATTTCGTTTAAAAAATCTTAAAAATTTTAGAAGTAAGCATTTTAATTATTTATAATTATTAAACTTAGTAATCTTATTTATTATAATAAATTTTGTTATTGATCGCCAGTGGCAATATCACCGGTCATGTGATATACGCTATTATAAATTAATTTTAGTAATCTAATTAAGCTTATAAAAAACTACTAATACAAATTCTTTATTATAAACCTCTTTTGCACTTTAATTGTATATATATTAAGCAAGAACGGAACTAAACTTATATTGAGCAAGAACGGAACTAAACATATATTAAGATTTCTTATTTTCACCTTACCCGTATAAGTTATTTTAAGTTCACTTAAAGCTATTCAATAAGTGGTAGATTCTTCTATACTATTGGTAAACAATGTCAATGTATAAAGTTGTCATTTTAAGCCTTCGATTCTTTCAGGTATAATTTGGAATAGAACATAATTGTATATAAATTGAATCAGTATCTTAACAATCTTAATTTCAAATCAAATCTATCAATCTAAAATCTATTTTACCTACTATATACATAAAATCCCTGTCTGCTATGCTATGGTTGTTGCCTTCACTTCGCTTCTCTTTTACTAAAACATAAGGTGGACACTTCATATTAGTTAAACACCCTAACCCTAAGTGTGAGGTAAATTGAATCAGTATCTTAACAAACTCTAATTCCAAATCAATGTAAAATCTACCTTCCTACATATATAAAATTTCCATTTGCTACACTAAGGCTGTCATCTTCGCTTCGCTTCGCTTTTACTAAAACATAAGGTAGACGCTTCATATTAGTTAAATCTGAATCAATATAAAATCTACCTTCCTATATATATAAAATCTCCATTCGCTACGCTACGGCTGTCGCCTTCGCTTCGCTTCTCTTTTACTAAAACATAAGGTGGATACTTCATATTAGTTAAACACCATAATCCTAAGTGTAAGGTAAATTAAATCAGTATCTTAACAAACTCTAATTCTGAATCAATGTAAAATCTACCTTTCTACATATATAAAATCTCTATTCGCTACACTACAGCTGTCACCTTCGCTTCACTTCCCTTTTACTAAACATAAATGAATGCTTCATATTAGTTAAACATCCTAATCCTAAGTGTGAAGTAAATCAATTTAGTATTTTAATAAACCCTAATTCCAAATCAATGTAAAAATCTACCTTATCTACATATATAAAATCTCCATTCACTATACTACAGCTGTTGCTTTCTATATAAAATCCCCATTCACTACGTTACGGCTGTTGCTTTCTACATAAAATCTCCATTTGCTATGCTACAGCTGTTGCTTTTGCTTCGCTTCCCTTTTACTAAAATATAAAGTGAACACTTTATATTAGTTAAATATCCTAACCCTAAACGTGAGGCTCCAATTTAATCTTTCCAAAACCTTTTTTGAAAGAGCATAATCGCCAACAAAGTTAGTTAGCATTAATTATAATGCTAGCTAACTTTATTGGTAATTATGCTTTTTTAAAAAATAGTTTAGAAACTTGAGCTACAATAAACATATTATTATACAATAATCATTATAACAATTTTGATGCAATCGTTTGAACTGCTAACTGAAATATTAATTGGCAACTTTGCTATTATATAAAATTAATAAAACTAATGCTCTAACCAATCTATATCTAATTCTTGTTTTTAGGATTTAATTTGCACATTTTAGCATAATGTCTAGTACTATTATAGTAAGAACATTTTCGTGAAGATTTATTTGTAATATCTGATTTATGAAGTATTTTTTTGTTAGTTTTTTGAGAACTTGATTGGTTAATATCATTTAAAGAGTCTTGTAATTGTTTTTTCGGTCAGCCATGATGTAAAATAATGTGAAGATTTGTTACTAGCCCAATATTGCCCAATCCTAATGAATTATCAGACTGAATCGATTTTAATTCAATAAAACTATGCAATATACCAATAAATTCATCCATTGTACCAGTATCGAGAGCAGTTTGAACTCCTTTTTTAGCAATTCCAATACCTCGGCAGTATTCAGCTTTTGTAGAAGTATATTGTTAAATTTTATAATTAAAACAGTCTGCTTAAAACTCTTTCCGGTTCACTTCCGGAAACACAACTAAAATCAAAATTTTACTAAGAAACTCTTTTTTTATCTTCGAC